TGAACTTAGATACAGTGTCCAAGAATCCTAGTTTCGGGGAGGGTTTTGGCAGTAATTTGGCCACATTTTTGCCACTTGGTTGCGTGTTCAGATAGACCTTGATGAACATATCCTATCCATCATCCTCTGTCATAGTAACCATGATAATTTTCAGCGCCAGACCGCGGATTTGTTACATTCCGAGACGACTTTTTATTTGGCATCTTCAGTCAGCTCTTCCATTTGTCAGCACCAAACTAAAACGCGGCAGAGATAAGTTGAGTTGAGGATGCTGCACAATGTGCTTTCATTAGAGCTACATGACAAATCAACAAATTTGTGTAAACAATGCTAAGCAACTCCTGAATCTCTTCGATATTTAACATAAATACTCCCCAAAACTAGGACTTAAGCCACTTAAGATGGCTTAGATTAGTTTTCAAGATATATCGCTTGATGTATCAATAAATTACACTCGGTACTGTCTTGATCAAAGACTGTTATGCATGATCTGCCCAAGTCCTATTTTGCTGCAAATCATTCAGCGAAAGAAGACTGTGACCGTTGCAAAGAATGCACCATCTCGATCTTATAACTTTTGATTGAATAAATTAACTTTTTAAATGTACCAACTCAGTTTCGTCTAAGGTGACGTAAAGGCGGGTGGTTGGCTTCTCTAAAGTGAAATGAATAAAATGCTTCCGAATGGCTCTGAATTTCAGTCAACTTTTTCCTCCAAATACTTTGTCCTCAGATCTGTCCATAAGTTTATATTTCTCCTCACCGTTTCATCGACTTCAACTAGCATTCAAGACCGTGTAGCTAGAGTTAGACGCCAGCGTTACCACTCCGCTGCAGCAATGCTGTATCTGGGGCAAACTCAATTTTTTTTCATTAAACTCGACTACATTACTCAATATATAGCGAGTAGGTATCGAGACTATTATTAAATTTTGTGGCCATGCCTCTTATCGATGGCGTGTAAAATGTGACGGCTGCGAATTCTGCTCCCAGTCACGCTCAGAGCCCAGGGCTCTTCTACAAAATGTATCCGCCCAAGACGGCTTACCGTAAACCGGCGACGAGACTCGACAAGATATCGTCGGTCCCGGTGGCGATAATCTACGGCTTGGCCAAAAGAAGGGAACCGGCCGCCATCGACGGAGATGGTACGATAGCGAGGGAACACGACATCGGCGGAAAACAGGTCCAGGCGCCGACATCGTTGAATGGCTTGTATGCTTTGGGGGCACGTATTGTTTTGCGGATGGAGTAGTACAGTCGTGTGTCTGTCTCTAGGTTGGATGTGGCTCGTGTGAATGCCGTGTGACGTGACGTTAATGGTCATCGTTCGCAACACAATAGAGGGCTAGACAAGTGGAGAAAAGTGGGGAACGTGTATGCTTTCTGCCCAGACCGGGCAAAGCAGACAATTGTGGCATTAGTCATTCGGGTGGACGCCTTTTCCATGCATCAATCACTTTGACGCGCCTCTTCTCAACACGCAAAAGTGGAAAACATCGCTCCTGTAGAATCACGTAATCCGGTCATGTGCTTGTGCACAAGGTTGGGCACCACAGGTGAGACACATTGCACGTGTCATCGGCTGGTCATGCCTCGACGGAGGCCGAGACGGGTGGAAAGAGAAAAGTGGCGAAAGCAGGAGCCGACGGAAAAATGGAAAAATTAAGCAATCTCTGGGCCAAACCTTGACGACCTGGGCGAGATGTAAGAAATAATT